TGGACACTCTTGTTTGCTGGACAGGGAGTTTTTGAGGGAGACTTTCTTTTTCACTTCTCATCCCCAGCTGTCTCCCAGATGCCTGGCCCAATAAATCAGTGGATGCCAACTGAGCCTGGTTCATGTAAGCAGCATCTGCCATGGGCCATGTCAGCATTCCTTTCTCCACATTTAACATCCATGCCAGTCTAGGACCTGACAGTGAACCAGGAGACCTGGCAATTGGTAAGTAACTCAGATAAACTGAAAGAACTCCAGAGCCAGAGGGAAACTTGAAAATATGTGGACTTAAGTTTTTATCTTGCAACTGAGCAAAAGGAGACCCAGAGGGGTAAAGAGCATTACCTGATTCAACACAGCTGGTCAGCAGGGAACCTGGGGCTAAACCTCATGTCACTTAGCTTCCAGCCCAGGCTCCTCCTCCCTTGTCACCATGTTTCCCCAGCTCAGAGGGATGTGTGCCTTCCCTTTATACTAGCACAGAAAGTTTCCACACTATGAAGTACCACCATGCCATCTCCAGGAAGGGGAGCTTGCTGACACCTTGTCTTAGGAGAGCTCATTTTTCAGACTTACAGCTCTTGGCATAAACAACCTGGGGCCTACGGGGGATGTTTCTTACAAGGAGCTGCAATGCAGTGATTGTTCACTCTGAGAGCTCTGACTCACCCCTTTCTCAGCCCCTGGGCTTATTTTAGCCCCACTTTCTGGAGGAGGAAATGAGAACATGATCCTGTGGGAAGAGCCCAGGGGCCTCCAGTTCTCACTGGAGGCTTCTGGCAGCAACTTGCAGCTCCAGCTTCATTAGAAATCCGAAGCCAGAGGCTCCTATAGAATTAGGGCTGCTAGCCTGGCCAGGTTACAGTGCACCTGCTTTAAGAAAATCTGGCATCCGGAAATGAGAATTAGGCAAAAGGGATGAATTTGAAGCTGATTATTGACCTAGCAAGGAGCTTCTTTCCTTTCTTCATTAGATGTGGAACAGTAGAATGAGCAAGGCTGTTGGGAGTCCCTGCTTCCATTAATGAGCTATAAAACCTTGAGTTTGGGATTAACCTTTCTGAGATTGGGAAATTGGGGGTGTGCAGGGGAGGAACCTTGAGCTGGGTCTTGAAAGACAAGTAGGGAGGAGGAGAGGGAGTTAGAGCTGGGGGATGGGTACACACAAATTCCCAGAGGTGTGAAAGTACAGGGAGTCGTCTGGACCATCTGCAGCAAAGGAAGAGAACCTGGATAGGCAGAGTCTGGAGCAGTCTCCTCCCTCTTCCCCAACATAGCATGCATATTCCTGCCCATACACTTTTCCTTAAATCAACCCCCTTACCTAAATGCTTTCTCTGTTCTCTCCAATTACCAAATCCTACCATCCAAAGCTTAGTTGGGTCACTTCTCAGGGCCTCACATGACCAAAATCAAGGTGTCGACCAGGCTGTGTTCCTTCTTGGATACTCTGGAGAAATAATTCACTTCCAAACTCATTGAAGTTGGTCAAAATCAGCTCCTTGTGGTCGTAAGCCTGGGGTTTTCTTTGTCAAGGGCTTCCTAGAGATCCCCCATGTTCCTTGCCAATTGGCCTCCATGGGCTGTTTACAGCATGGCTGTTGCTTCTTCTTCCAGGCCAGAAGGAACATATCTCTCTCACTTCATCCTCAATGACCAAGTGAAGAAAACTTTCTGCTTTTGTTTGTTTTGTTTGCTTCGCCATGTGGTTTATTATTATTTTTTTAGTAATGCACATTATAAGCGAATACACATTATATATTTATATAGATTTCAATTTGAAAATTACAGATTATATATATATATACACACTAATTGTCATATTCAGTGATTTGTTTCTAAAAAGGTTATAGTAATTCCTATTACCATTAGCAATGTTTGAGAGTATGCAACTCCCCATATCCATACTCACAATTGAAGAGAGGAGGGCGGGGGGTGGGGGTGAATGGGTGACGGGCACGGAGGGGGACACTTGACGGATGAGCACTGGGTGTTATTCTGTATGTTGGTAAATTGAACACCAATAAAAATTAATTTATTTAAAAAAAAAGAATTTTAAATGTTTTGTTTGGAGAAAAGTGACTGTAGTATTTTAATATGCATTTGTTTTACTGAGAAATTTATCATTTTCACATGTTTCTCGGTTATTTGCACTTATTTAAATTTCCTGTTTATCTTTTTTATTCATTTTTCCTTTGGGTTATTTATCTTTTCTTGTCCATTTGTTACAGCTCATTTTTCTACTGTAGATATTAATCACTGAGGTATCATTATGTGACCATTTTTTTCAACTTATCTTTGGTTTTATGACATCAAATATATCTACATGTCGTTAATAACTTCTGGGTTTCCAAACTTGGTTAAGATCTCCCCTGCCTGATATTATACACAGTCTCTTAGATTATACTGTAGAACAATTTTATTATTACTACACTTATGCGTGTAATATATCTAGAAGGTCTCTTTCGATGTTTTAAGGGCAGGATCCAATTTTACTTTCTTCCACTTGGATAGCCAGTTGTCAGCACCATCTATTAAGTTACCCACACTTTTTCGTTTGGTAAAATCACTTTAGTCAAATACTAAATTATCATATATGTTAGGACCTACTTTAGGATTCTACATTCTGTTCTACTGACTGATAAGTGAGTCCATAGCTATGTCAGTGTCATATTTGTGAGAACCCTCTGTTTTCAAAGTGCCCACTTGAATAGGTCAAGCTCCCCTTGAGCTATCCCCCTTTCTTAAAATCAACAACCATGTAACACAACCTAACTACAGGAGTAAAATCTAGCATGTTCATAGTCCTGGACATAATGTAGGGTGTGCACTCCAGGAGCAGGAATCTTAGGGAACATTTTAGAATTCTGTCCATCATACCCTCCATGCTCTTTTCTATGGAGGAAGGAGTTTTGCTTTCAGGTCAGTTTCTGAGCTCTCTGCTGTAACCCAAGAACTGGACAGATTTCCACCTAGAAGCAGTGAGAGCTACAGCCACACTTTCTCTCCCAGCAGGTGGCAAGATATGGAGAAGGCTAGGAGTATATGCTTTCTGAAAGGAAGTGGGCCTATGAACATCAAGACTGGAGGAGGAGGATGTCAGAGGAAACAGCTGACGAGTGAGGGATGGGCAGGTGGGAGAGGCAAGTTCTGGGCCTTACTACATGAGTGGGAAACAGGAAGAAGCAGGTAGGGAAGAATCATGGGCTTGGTTTCAGGTAAAGATTTGATGGGAAGATGAGAATGAGGAAAGGAATCAGGAGTAACAGGGAAAAAAGATCCTAAGAAGCACTGCTCTGAGTCACAAATTATATCCTCTAAGACACTTATTAAGAGAAGCCAGTACAGGGGAGCCTGGGTGTCTCATTTGGTTAAGTGTCTGCCTTCTGCTTGGGTCATGGTCCCAGGATCCTGAGATATAGGCCTGTATCGGGGTCCCTGCTCAGCTGGAATTTTGCTTCTCTCCCTGCCTCTGTGCACCCCCTCCCACTCATGCTCTCTCTCTCTCTCTCAAATAAAATCTTTCTTTTTTTAAAAGAGAAGCCAGTAAACCATAGATTTGCTTTTAATAATGTTAATACTGGACTGTCTTTCCTTGACTAGGTCTGTGCAGAGACTGGGTCTGGTGACATATCTTTCAATTGCGTATGTAGGAACTGTATCTTACTGTTTAAGCTACAAGCTGGGTTGCCCTATAATGTCAACAAAAATACCAAGCTGCAGAGTACAAGAGAGGCATAGATTTTCATAGAATGTGCCATCTTTTTCTTATTAAACAAAGTACATATATCTCATTCCCAAAGACCTATACTGATGCCAGACATCTGCAATTCCACCTAGGAGCCCTTTTAAGTAATGATCATCACTGTGCTTCCTAGTCCCTAGTATAGGGTAGATACATGAGAAAATATGCCTTGCAATAAAATTTATTTGATTAATAAATATAATCATTAACACTTACAAGATACTTCCAAAGTATCAGACATTATAAAATATTATTCTATCTGGATGATAGAAACTATGGCACAGAGAGGTTAAGTAACTTGCTCAAGTTCACACAGCTAGTAGATTCTAAAGCCAGGAATTAAAAAAAAAAAAAAAAAGCCAGGAATTTAACATAGGCATTCTGATTCTTTAATCCATGCACTTGTATAAGCCATGAACTTCTAGTAAGGGACAAAGGGATTAATATATTATGTGTCCTTTTTTACCTTGAAGAAAGAAAGAAGACCCAGGATGGGTGTGGAAGGAGTTAATGCAGAAGCCTCCTGGGCACCATCTCTTTCCTACGAGTACTGGAGAACATGCCCTGACTTCTTAGTCTCTGCTACTAAAGGGTGGCTGGTGAACCATCAGTGTCAGCATCACCAGGGAGCTTAGTGGAAATGCATATTCTTAGGTGCCACCTCCAGACCTAATGAATCAAAATCTGCTTCTTAAAAAGACCCCCTTGGTGATCTCTATGCACATTCAAGTCTGAGCAGCATATGGCTTGAGCCACATTACCTAGGCCCATGCAGCAGCTTAAACTTCCTGCTGTGATGGGAAAGTCCTATATCTGCACTGTCCAATAAAGTAAGCGCTAGCCACATACAGCTAGCATGACTAAACCAGTGAATTTTTCATTTTATGTAATTTTAATAAGTTTAGATTTAAATAGCCACACATGGCTAGTGGCTACCTTTGTGAGCAGCAAAGATTCTAGATTTGTTGTTTCCCCTAGGTTTATTTCCCTATGATCCAATAACCCTTTGTGAAGTCTTATTTAAAGAGCTTTGTCTTGAAACAGCCATGTTAGGGAATATAGTGGAGGATTTTGTGTCTCCTCTTGGCTTGGGTCAGAGCATTAAAGGAGGCCAGGAATCATAGCACAGAAGGAATTCCATGGTCTGACTGACCTTGTTGCCTGCCTGACACACCTATGTGCTTCTTCAGCTGTCTGTGCATTCCACGCTCACATAGGTAATATCATCTTCTGGTTACTTACCTGTATTAGCTGCCAAACACAAGCTCTCTGAAAACAACAGCCAAAGCCTGATTAATAAGAGAAAAATACACAAATTTTATTCATATGTGGAGCATGCATACACACAGAAGAAATCCAGTGATGAGTAACTCAAAGGGGTGATTAGAACTTGGACTTACATAGCATCTTTTTTTATGATTGTATTTATTTATTCATGAGACACACAGAGAGACAGATACATAGGCAGAGGGAGAAGCAGGATCCCTGGAGGGAACCTGATATGGGACTCAATTGCAGGACCCTGGGATCATGACCTGAGCCAAAGGCAGATGCTCAACCACTGAGCCATCCAAGTGCCCTATCTTTTTTTTTTTTAACTTAAATTTAATTAGCCAACATAAAGTATGTACTTAGTTTCAGATGTAGTGCTCAATGATTTATCAGTTGGGCATAACACCCAGTGCTCATCACATCACGTGCCCTCCTTAATGCCCATCACCATTTTCTCTTATTAATCTGTCTTTGGTCAGTTTAATATACAAGTCTTCAGCAGGGCCTCCTAGAAAACATAGAGAGTAGAAGAGAAAAGTTTTCTTCCTCCCCTACATGTATCAGATGGAAATAAGTGGTACAGAGAAAAATAAGCATGAAAGGTAGATAGGAGTGTAAAAGAGGAGGGTGGTGATTTAAAACAAAAAAAAATACACTTAAAGGGTTTCATGTACCTAGTTATTTATTAATAGCTACCATATGATTGAGTTTGCCACTATATACCATGAGCATTTGAAGCACTTGACAAACATTATGTCATGTAATTTTTATAGTAACTGACAGAGTGGTGGTATTCTTTCAGGTGAAGAAACAGACAATCAGAACAAGTGCATCCACCTTCCTCTCACCTGACCTAAACGCTTGATTTTTGAGTTTGCTATTCAAAAGATATGAAAAGATCTTCTAGGAGCCACTGGAGCTCCTAATGCTAAAATTCAAAGAAAATGAGTTAATTCTCTTGGATAAAAGTGTCTTTAGAGGCCATTAAGACACAGTACTCTGTGCTGACTTATGCTATTCTTGGGGAAAAAATCGAATTAAATTTGATTATCTATTTGCTGCCCCCTTCCTCCATATTAATAGTCTAATATGCATGATAAGTGTTGTATGTGCACCGTGGGGCTGTTTACAGCAATTGGTGAAGTGTTTAACATGCTAAAGAAATGAACTGTTGGTAAAGAGGGCTCCAGAGACAGAAGAGTAAGAGATAGATAGATGGGATGTCTGATAATCCTGGTGTTCTGGAACGAGGATAAATGAAACAGTTTTTTTCTGGTTCTCCTCAAAACTCACTGATCGCTCTCATTTTCTTTTTTCTTTTTTTTAATTTTTATTTATTTATGATAGTCACAGAGAGAGAGAGAGAGGCAGAGACACAGGCAGAGGGAGAAGCAGGATCCATGCACTGGGAGCCCGACGTGGGATTTGATCCTGGGTCTCCAGGATCGCGCCCTGGGCCAAAGGCAGGCGCTAAACCGCTGCGCCACCCAGGGATCCCTCGCTCTCATTTTCTTTCACTATTATTTCTTTCTTTGCTGTGGATGTTCCCGAGGTTTATCTCTGGCTATCCATTCCTCCAATGCTGCACTGTCTCCATTGGGCCTTCTCATCTACCCAGTGTCTCAGGAGGCAAGGAGAGGAGCCTCAGATGAGAAGCATCAAGAACCCAAGACCACCCAAGGTGATATTTAAACATATACCCTTCCATACCCTTCCCTTTCCTTCCTTCCCATTTCCTTTCTTTTCCTGTAGGAAATCCAGAGATTCCAAAATCATTAAGAGAATTCTTTGGGGGTGCCCTAGCCTTGCCCAGAACAGAACTAGAATAATTTGGCTCCAGAAAAAGAACTGTGATCTGAATATGGCGAGTCACCCCCACTGCATGGACTCATATACATTCAAAACCCTGCAGAACAGCCAGGAGGCTGCAAACCACATGAATCCAAAAGCCTCTGGAGAGTTCCTTGGGCATGCTCTGGCCTTGCCTGGCACAGGTTCTAAAACTGTGTCCTCTGAATCTGGATGGACTGGTAAAATTTCATAAATAAGTGACTGATTGACAGCATGCTGCTACCATCTAGAAAAAGAAACATGCCTGGAATAAAGCAACATACAGAAGGAAGCAGAGCAAAGAGAAAGAGAGGCCAGATAATGTAGCATCACTGGGACTCTTGATCCAGCCATGCTTGAAGCAAGACTATCCCAGGACTTTCCAGTGATATTCTTAATAGAATTCAAACCTCCACCTTTTTTCTGTTTTGTTTTAATGTGGCTTGAATTGAACTTTCTATTCATTACCATCAAACGAATTCTAACAAAATTTCCATCTATGTGTAGACGACCTCCAACTGGACACCTACCTATGTCTCTTTCTGGAGCTTCAGACCTGGTATTCAGTGACAAACTTATCTGGATACTTCTCTGGAAATCCTTACAACTGAACATGGCACCATCTGAACCTGCCATCCCTTCTCCCCTACTTTTGTCCCGACCCATGATCTACTTCTATGTCAGTCTTTATTATCCCAGCTCCCAATCACCTACTTTCCCCTTTTCATTCCCCGCACACAACCATTCATTCATTGAGCTGTCCTCCAAAATAGTTTTGAGTTCCTTCTCTCTTCAATTCTACTCGTAGTTCCTTGAGTCAGCCTACCATCACCTCTTAGCAAAACTTCTGAGTTGGTCCCCATTTTCTGTTTTTTTCCTGAGTGTAGCCTACAATCATCCTACTGTGTAGATATAAAACTGTCTCTCTGCCCTCACCCTACCACTCTAAAAGTCTTCCATGTTAAAAAAAAATAAAATAAAATAAAAGTCTTCCATGTTACCCCATAACTCTCAGGATGAATTTCAAATCCTTTAGCATGGCATCTAAAGTCACTTATAGCCTTCCCAGTCTCCATCCCTAGTCACTGTGCCCACTTTCCCCTCCATGTTCTATGGTTTTATTGTTCCCAGAATATTCCATACAAACTGACACCTTTGTGCTTTTGCACAGGTAAAACTGCACCTGCTATCAGTACCTTTCTCTCTGCAGCCATCTCTGACCACATCTCTGAATCTCTGAGTCAGAATTAATTGCTCCTTGTGTACTCCCTAAAGCACTATATATGAAACTTCGTTAATGAAACTTTTCCCACTGTGTTATAATTAATTTCTGTCCTATGTTTATCTCTTTCACTAGACTTCTGAGAGTTCTGTGAGCAATTGAACAAGAAGGACTTATCCACTTTTGTATTCATGAACTTAACATAGTGTCAGACTTAATAGATGCTGAATAAAAAATACTGACTTAAATTGAAATTGAAGGTGTCATTGACACCATCTCTCAGCTTACATATTTCATGTTCCCTATTCACAAACAGTCCTCATTTATTTGCTGGTCTTTGTATTAGGACATACACATTTTTTTTAAAGATTTTATTTATTTATTTGAGAGACAGAGGGTGAGTGAGAGCAAGTGAGAACACAAGTGGGGGGAGGGACAAAGGGAGAGGGAGAGCAGACCCCCTGCTGAGCAGGGAGCCAGACCTGGGGCTCCATCCCAAGACTCCCGGATCATGACGTGAGCTGAAGGCAGACGCTTAATCAACTGAGCCACCCAGGCGTCCCAACATCTACACCTATTTGAAAAGTTGTAATGTGCTATACATATAGGGCAGAAACATAACTTACTAAGCAAAACAAACAAAAAAAGACATTGATCAGCTGAGTATTATTTGGTCATTTTATTTGGCCTCTGCCAGAGCAGGAGGAGGAATACTGAACAATATTTAGTTCCTATCCTACCTCTATCACTAGCTGTAGCGAATTGTAAAGAGAAACACAAATCTTCCTATCACTATATTCTTGTCCTTTTGTAAAGTGACCTTGAAGCTCCTCCCATCAAAAGGTGGGTGCTAGGGCAGCCCCCTGGCGCGGCGGTTTAGCGCCGCCTGCAGCCCAGGGCGTGAACCTGGAGACCCAGATCGAGTCCCACGTCAGGCTCTCTGTATGGTGCCTGCTTCTCCCTCTGCCTGTGTCTCTGCCTCTCTCTCTCTCTCTCTCTCTGAATAAATAAAATAAAATCTTAAAAAAAAAGGTGGGTTCTATTTCCTGACTCCCTGAATATGACTTTGTAATTTGCATTGTCCAATGAGATCGTGGTAAATACCATGCAGGCACAGGTTGTAAAACACTTGAACATTAGTTCTTCCTTGTGGTTCTTAGAAATTCTGCTACATGAATAAGCCCAGATTAGTCTACTGGAGACATAGCCCAATCATCTGCACCACCCCAGCTAACAACCAGCACCACCTGAATGAGGGTATCCTAAAACAACCAATTCACAGCTGCAGGAATGAGCCCAAGCAATACCAGCAGAAGAACTGCCCAAGGATCTCAAGTTACATTGCCAACCTGCAGGAATATCAGCTTGTAAATGAGTGTTATCTTAAACCACTAATTATTACGATGGCTATTATGCAGCAAACACTAACTGATACACTAGCTATGTGACTTGAGGAAGATGTTACTCTCTAGGCCTGAAATTCTTTATAAATTAAAGGGGATAGCATCACCATCCTGGCTCACAGGACTGTTATGAGGGTCAGTTGAAATATGATTGTAAAATCCCTTTCTAAGTGAGGATCAATTTATAGGTATGGCATTTTGGGGGATATATTTAATCAATATACATATTCAGCACTGCTTCAGGCTCTCTTTACAGTTGATGCAAAGTGTACACGGTCTTAGACCAAGTATTCCCAGAAGCCAAAGCCAGCTTTTTATTTTATTTGCTCAATAGTATACACAGTGTGAAGAAAGAGACTCATTAATAAGTGAGTGTGGCACTATGATGAGATTCAGGATATCTGAAGTTACTGGACCCCAAGGGCATTTTTGAACCGTAGGGACTGTCCAGAAGGAAAGCAGGGTCTGCCATCTTTCAGAGTCCCAAGTAAGTATTGTAAAGACTACCAAGAGCCACAAGAACAAGTATCAATATTCAAATGCTTTTCAACCAAGTGCTTGC